TTCATTTATAGGGCTATCGTTGATTTATAATCATTCCAAAAACAGTGTTTATTACAACATTCCTATTCCTGTTTCTTATTCCTTGCCGATATTGTGCGGGCAGTGCGATGTCACATGCCTTTTTAGAGAATGTAAACTTTCACACCTCCACTATATGCTATACTTTCCACTGATCTTTCCTTGTGTAATTTACAAAGGACCCTCTTCTGCACTCATAACAACTTTATGTTATAGTGATCGGTCCGGCTGGCCGCCCCGTCTCAGCAGATTCAGTAAAGCTTCGCAAGAGTCGTACTTCATCTGGCGCAGTGTTATCAATCATTCCTAAAGAGCCAGGTTATCACCAGGTTTGTATGCACTCATTTTTAATGCTGGTTCGGTGAGGACACTCGTCGGCCTCATTTCGGCGTTTTTGTTTTGCTATAACGAGCACTTCGAGATGTCGCTCGTCGTTTAGTGCTCTTTAGTGCAAGGCAAATTCGTTTTTCTTTGCTACTTTGAGTCGTATCAATTCTTGGTTGTGGTTGCCACATGTTTCAGTAACTAACAAAGTTCTAATTAAAAATCTTTGTCAAGAATGTTTCACAGTAATCATTTATCAATTATTTTATCTTTCTTTTCTGGGAAATCTCCCAAATCCAGGGGGTTTCTTCATAAATATTGGGCCCATAAAAGCATATATGGTCAAGTACATGGTGTATTGTGTGTGTTTGGGTGATCCGCCCGTAGCGATTGTATCCCAATTTGCCATTCAGTTCGAACACAGCGGTCTGCGCGACCGCAGCGGGCCGCAGAGAGCGGGGAGACCTTGGCGTATTTATTGCCACCCCAGCTCCGCCCTGAACGCCACACCTTTTCACGGCCCTTTCAGTCAAACAAACCCCACGTGTCATCGTTTCACATTCATTAAATGCTTTTTCTTTAAATACCTGAAAAACTGACCGAAAAAATCAATTATCGATTGTGTGAGAATTTGTTTGATTTTGGTGGAAAAAACTAATTTCTCAGCGCTATTTTTCTAGAGATTTGAGTTCCTTTGATATGTTGTGCATTTATTCATTTGCATCTTCTTTTTTCAGCATTATATTCCCCTGTTGAGTCTGCGCATATTCACCGCCACTATCCCACCTTGACCTATCTAGTAGTAGTAACCGCGTTCCTTCGTTGCTCAGAAGCGCTCAAAAAAATCAACCATTGCAGAGTTGCTGATAAACTCCTCCTTAACGTTGTAAAAAAATTTTGTCAAATTCAGTGCATAACTAGGGCTGTGTGGGCAGTATGCTAATGACATTAATATCTACGGCGTGAAGTATGGTGGTTGGCGAACAAATTTGGCGATCGCGCATTACAACGGTAAGCGAGCAGAGCGTTCTGCATGGCCATGACCATGCCTAAAAAGTCCGAATTCCGTCGTACCAACGCTAAAATGAGCTTTTTACATCGTAGCGTCGCACCTTCAATGGAGGATCTCCGGATGAGTTGAAGTGTCGCGCGGATCAACACTCTCTCGCGCGATTTCACAGTGTTTTTGTAATTCAGCAACAATTCACCGAACTTGATAGAAGATGGTAGATAAGTAGATGTCAAAATCTTTTTTTTTCTGAGTCACTTACTTAAAAAAGACACAGCAGACCCGAAACTGGTAGTGGGGCGCGCGTTGAACGAGGTGAGCCAGTAGCGTTTGCGACATGCACCTTGTCATTACTGCGCGGCCTGCGATCACAATTCGATTGGATTCACGCATTTATCTGTTGCAATGCAAAATCTTCTTCACTAAACGCGTTCAAAACGTACC